ATCAATGAGGAAGCACTAACATCTCCTCTGAGTGAAGGAATTCCTCCTTATCTCAGTCCTAAAAGGGCAGCCCCTTACTCAGAGACTGTCCCTTAAATGTAAGGGACGTTACAAGCTGGGGATAGGTTCTCTCATGTTCTATCCTAGGAAATCCTTTAAAGACTTACGTATCTTTCAATGAGATCACCTGTCATTCTTTTAAACTCTAGGAAATACAGGCCCAGTACATTCAACCTCCATTTATAGGACAATTATCTCACTCCAGGAATCTGTAAACCTTTACTGCACCTTCTTTAAGGCAAGTAGAGGTGGCACGGAGGCTCAGTGGTTAGTACTACCACCTCACAACACCAGGGACCTGAATTTAATTCCACCCTTGGGCAACCGTCTGTGTGGAGTTTGAACATTCTTCCCATACCTGCATGAGTTTCCTCCAGGGGCGTGCTCTGGTTTCCTCCCACAGTCCAAAGGTGCACAGGTTGGGTGGATTGGCCATGGGGAATGCAGGGTTATAGGGACAGGGTAGGGTGGTGGGTGTGGGTGGGATGCTCTTCAGGGGGTCAGTGTGAACTCAATGGACTGAATGGCCTGCTTCCACACTATAGGGATTCAATGATTCTAAGTAAACCAAAACAATATTCCCAACGTGGCCTCTCTAAGGACTTCCACTCTTACAGTAAAACTTCTTTGACTGTCCAAATTCCTTTCCAATAATATGCCAATGTTTAATATGCCATTTGTTTTCCTAATAGCTTGCTCTACTCCATGCTAACTTGTTTTGATTTGAGTACAAAGGTCCCTCTGAACACCATCATTTGCAGATCTTTCGTGAAGCTTCCAGGATACTCCCAGGGAATGGTTAGCCCTACTCATAATTATTTCAATCAGCCTCTATTATGATGAAATAGCAGAAAATATTGGAAGTAAGATAAACAGTCACCATGAATATAGAGAAAAAGCCTTTCATTTATAGAGCTCAATGAAGATGACAACCCAAGCTTAAAAGACTCTTATTTTTTGGGGGGGTATTGTCTCTTCAATTTTGGATGAAGTGTAAAATGCAGGAGTAAACGGTCAGTCAGGTCTTGTTCTGAATTTACTCAATCAGAATATTGGGTGGCTTGGTTCTTTAAAGGTTGGGGTGAGGGCAAGGTAATTCACAAGGAAGAAGGTGCCAGATGTTAACATCTGTAGACAATAGACAGAACAATGGCATTGACTTTGGGTAGACTGTTTGTCTCCAATTGTCATAGGGAGGTGTTAGGAATTACAGGTTTTATGAAGTCATACTTTAACCTGTCTATTTAATTTCAAGATAGAATGGAATTGGTCAGTCTAAAGGACATTTCTACATTGTTACTATGCACATGAAATATATTGCCAGGGAGATGGAATTTAAGAAAGAGTACTGCACAGAAAGCCATTGTAGGATCTTGTTGCAGGTTTTTCTTAGTTTCCCTAAACTTTCCAGTCGTTAAGTCTTCAAGAAAAAGAGGGACCAGAAAGATAGAAGCAACTGGTCTCTGTTGTTCATGGTGCAGAATGAGAGTTGGAGCTCAGCTCAGAAGTGACCAGATTTGAGGGGATCTGAACAAGACTGGAAGATTTGCAAGATTTGGATGTTGGGTGGAATCTCCACAAAGTCAGGTCAGAATTAGAGGTTATCCATCTGGAGAAGGAAAAAGAAAGCAATCTATCCAGAGGTGAGAATAGCTTGGGAGTGGTTCCTGGGGAAAGGGGCAGAGTAGAGGATATCTATGGATTTTTTTTTCAGTAATTTGGAACATTAAATAGAGGGTCTTTTCTGCAGTTGAGTATAAGTTATATATTGAATAAAGTTTGGACTATGTTGCTTTTAGTTTGTTTGTTGTGTACAAGTCTTAATATTTGAAATCTCGTTGTGCAAACCCTCCAGTCACTCACCAACTTCTTTTAACAAGTTATTTGTCTCTGTGGAGACTGTAACACTGTACACAAAACATTTTTTATACAGAGTTTACTCAGTCTAATGCCCCAAACGGGATGACATTCCAGAGGAGAAATCATCGCTGTCTCTTCCACAATCATTTTTTCTTAATGTATGTGCCTCAGCCTCTTGGCCACCTTTGTTCAGACCTCTGACACCATTCTCCTAACACTGCATCCATTCTCATCTATTTTTCTTCTTCCTGATCTATCTTTTCCATTAGCTCTGCCATTGGCTGCCTCAGTATAGCTCTTGTCTCTGTCACCCTTACTGCTGTGTTCTTCTTATTCTGGAAAAGTTCTGCACACACAAAAGCATTCTAACCATTGAGTGCCAGGATAAAGCTGGCTGCCATGGACAGGTAGGGAAAGGCAATGAAGGAACTATTGTAACACACAAAGATGGGAAAGAAACAGGCAGGCTATGCATGGTTTAAAAATAACGTCTCGCCCAAGCTCTACTAATTACTGGTGATTTTGCCAAGTCAACCTGAATCTGGTATTTCAAGAAATCACTGCTACACATGAGAATGGAAGGTCAAATGGCCAAAGTTTTATTTGACATGATTGGAAAAGCTGGTTTAGGGCTACATAATACATACAGACACCATGGATATGATCAAACATGTGGAAAACTTACCACATAGCAAGTCAGGTGACTAGAAGTAAACCTTTTAATTGTATGTAAATGGATATATGTTATATATATATAAATATATATATATATATATATATATATATACACACACACACTGTAAGTTGGTCTAGTTACACAGGGTAGTTCATCTATATATGGCTCTACTCCATCAACACTAAGCAATGTTCAAATTCTTGCCAGACCTTACACTCTCTCTGTTAAAAATAGATTATGCAAATATCAACCAGTTCATTGTTAAAGAAGTAGTGGGGAACAAACCACTCCTAGGATTGTCCAAGCTAGAATACAAACGTATGTTAAAGGGGGATTTAAGAGCAGTATATAATTATATCTTCTTCATTCTCATCACTGAACTATTGTCTATTTTCATATTGGAATGAATATTGAGTTGTATTAAGTAGCGATAATGGTTGTTGGCAATACTCCACAAAGGATGAGAGACAATTTTTTCCATTAGGGATCATAAGATCATAAGAAAAAGAGGCAGGGGTGGGCTATTTGGCCCATCGAGGCTACTCTACCATTAAATAGGATCATGGCTGATCCAACTGTTGCCTCAACCCACTTTCCTGTGTCCAACACAATGTGACTCTCTTATCAATCACAAGTCTAATTCTGCCTTGAACATATCAGTGACCCCGCCTCCACTGTTTTTTATGGAAGAGAATTCCAAAGAAGAATGACGCTGTGAGACAAGAATTTCCTCCTCATCTCAGTCTCAGTCTTAAACGGATGAGTCCTTATTTTTAAATTGTGCTCCCAATTCTAGAATCCCAGCCCACAAAACCAAACATCCTTTCAGCACCTACCCTGTCAAGCTTCCTCAAAGTCCTACACATTTCAATAATACCACCTCAAATTCCTCTCAACAGAGACTGGCAATTGGCTTTGTATGGGTTAAGGGCACAACTCTGCAAGCATGGTGCGAGGAGAGGAAGCCAGCTACTGCAGTTAGTATAGGGATTGAATCTGTTGGCATCATTCTGCATCACACAGTAGCCAACTGAGCTAACCAACCCCATTAATGAATGAAGAATGAAGGATAAGTCATATTCAAGACTGGATACCAAGATCCTTCAAGTACCACTTACCCATAATGGTAATAACTTTGCTGAATTTTCAACGTGCACAATGTTTCCTTGACCATTTGGAGGGGTGGACAAAATCATGCAAGGAGCTGATATTTGATTTGATTTGATTTGTTTATTATTGTCACAGGTACTTAGCTACAGTAAAATGTTTTATTTTGTGTGCAATACAGGCAGATCATACAAAGTGCATACAAGTAATAGAACAGAGCGAGGAGTACAGAGCGAGGAGCAAGCTGATTTGTGACATTTGAAGTCTGTGTGTGAAATTTACATTGTACCCAAGGACAAAACCACACTTCTGGGCTCTAATCAAACTTTCAAAAATTGTTTCTCCAATGTGTTTCTTTAATTTGAAACATTTTAGGAAATTTCTCCACAACAAGGATTCCAAATACTCAAGAAATAAATGACTATACAATAGATAAAGTTTTAATTCATTATTAATCTATCCAGCCCATTTTCCCCTCCCCAACTTTCTCCCTTCTCTATTCAACATGCCAGAATGTTATTTCATCGATCTGGCAGCCTGAGATACCTTTGATGCGCTCTTTGCCCAACTTTAGATATCAAGAACGCTGACATTCTACCGGCAAAGAAAGATATCAAGGCCAAGCTTCACCAGATATACACCTTCTGCTAAGAGCCTCGGCATGAATACAAATCACCACAATCCCTCCAATCACAGGATGCTAATGTCAACTGCAGGCTGTGTGTTAGAATGCACCAATGTCTTGGATAGCTGCAGCTGCAATGACAGTCAAGAAACTTTCAACACCACCCAACATGAAATGTCAACACTAGCTACTACTGGAATACAGCGGCAACAAGAGCTAATCAACACTTCTTCATCTATACCACCCCAAATCCACAAAACCAAAACAATAAGGGTAAGTGGTAGTTGCTAGTACCACCACTTTGAGTTTCTTTTTCTCTTGAAGTCACATACCATCGAATCTTCGACATCTACAGTCTTCCCTACGTGGCTGCTAGGTCAATATCCTGAAACTCTCTACCTGACAGCCTTGTGAATGTGCCTACATCATAGGTACTTCAGCACAGGGGGCACCACCACTTTCTCAAGGGAACCTTGGGCTGAGCAACCAATGCTGTCCTCACCAGTAAAAAAGATGCAAGTTGCACAGAACAAAACTACATTTGACTACTTCTCCTGATCAAGTCAATAAACTCTTACCAGTGCTCACAGTTTGGGATCCTTCCCAACTTTATCCGCAACATAAAAGTCAATTTCTGAGGTAAACTCTTGACAATTAATATGATTTACTGACCTTAGGTGCTGATTCATTCTCGAGAGGCTGGTTATAAATCTGCAGAACAGCCCACATGGGAAGGATAAGGTAAGGTATAATTAGGAGGCTGACAGGACCAAGTTTGCTGCCATATTTTCCTAGTGAATACATCAAAACAAGGAAGATTCAGAACTAGGTCTTGTAGCCAACAAATTGTCACTAAGAAACAGTAAGAGAATTATATAAAATCCTTCTGCTCATATCCTTCTCAATTTAGCCTTGGATAGTTCCGAGATTATATAACTTTAAATCAACATGTTTTTGTAGTAACATTTGCTATTATTTAAGATCTGTTGTTGAAACTTCATAAAATGACTGAAGAAAGAGAGTGCACAAGAGGGAGATGTATGAATGCACAAATGCACATGTACACTACCTAGAACTGATCAGAGAGTACATACGGAAGATGTAAAGAGAATTAATACGAGAGGCAAAGAAATGCAAAAGACACAATGACAGAGATAAAATAAACTTGTTCCTACCAACAAGGCTTCCCGATAAGAATACAAAAGTACTCATCAGAATCGATCCAACCCAGTATAAACCAATGGTTCTGTAACTCTGCCTGCAAAATATAAAATATGTTACTCACATGCAGCACCATTAATGGTCTAATATAGCACAAGTTAAAACTGCTGCTTTCAGCAGCTACTCCCTCCACCACCGACGCTCAGTAGCAGTGTGTACCATCTACAAGATGCAATGGAGTAATTTGCCAAGGCTCCTTCAACAGCACCTTCCAAACCCACACCCTCTACCAATTAGAAGGACAAAGACAGCAGTATTTCCGTCCAAGTCATACACCATTCTCTCTTGGAAGTACGTCACTGTTCCTCCACTGTCACAAATCACTATGTATTTTTAATTAGAACGCCAACAGTCATACTGTACTATATAACTCTGGGAAACTTCTAACTAAGGTCATTTTAATGCAACACGTTTTCTTCAACTTTACTTTTTCATACCCACCCAATTCTACAGCATCTTATTCCTCAAAGGTGCTAACTGAAGTTGGATATTAATTCCCCCAGTTCCTCACCAAAGTGCCCATTTCTTTTTTATGTGGTTCAACAGGAAGTTGTCAGGGTGTTATTCAAACATGGACAATCTCACAGCTACTCTCAGGGCAGACTGCTTGACTGTTTCTGACAGCAAACACCCAAATAGACTTTCAAGACAGCTCGAGGGAAATCAGTCAAATAATAGCTAAGTACTGGAGGAACTCAGCTGGACTGGCAGCATCTGTGGAGTTGGAAACAGCACTAATGTTTCAAGCCTTCTTCCCAGGATAGGGGAGTTGAAAACTAGTGGGCATGGGTTTAAGGTGAAAAGGGAAAGATTTAAAGCGAACATAAGGGGCAACTTTTACACGCAGAGAGTGGTGCATGTATGGTAAAGGTGGAAGTGGTGGAGGCTGGTACAAATACAACATTTAAAAGGCATCTGGATGGATATACAAATAGGAAGAGTTTAGAGGGTTATGGGCCAAATGCTGGCAAATGGGAGTAGATTAATTTAGGATATCTGGTCTGTTTCCATTCTATACAACTCTATGACTGTTTGACCCCAAGTCCAATATGACTTTTCCTTGGAGTTATTGGATTTGAAACATTAATTCTGTTTCTCTCTCCACAGACATTGCCAGAGTGACTGAGTTTCTCCAGCACTATCTGTTTTTGTTAGAGGGAAATCAGCATTGGTTTGATTATTGCTAAGGAGAATAACGTATCTCCCTTATCACCATCACTGCGCAGAGAAGATCAAATAGGGACCTCCCTTTCATTACCTTGCTAAGCAGTAGATTTACCACTGCTTAGTATTCTGGATAGAAGAGGCTGTCAGAGAACAAGATTATACATGGAATTTACATCACCAAAGGTTTTTCAAAAACCATCTAAGCAAACTTAAAGCTTTCTAAGCTATTATGAGGCACATTCCCTTTGAATTAAACAGCAAGAACCTTTGATTGAGTATTTTTCCAGGACATGTGACTCAATAAATTCATAGGTGCATTGAATAGGTGCATTGCAGCCAGTTAATAGGTTTTCATTGTGATGAATGCAATGTCAAACACTACAACAAATCAGGTCAAACTGTAAACAAAGTCTGCTCTATATTCCATGCTGCATCACTGGAGAATATGTAGATGGTTTCGAACAAAAACCTATTGCTGAACCATGAGATGTGCATTAATTGTTAGAAGCCTGCATGCTAATTATATCCTTTGAAAGTCAGTTCCCATTAATTCAGAGTTTAGTTTATAATCAGACTGCAGAAAGGTTTAGATTTTAAGAATTAGGAACAATTGGCTAATGTTATACTTAAAGATATGGTCTGCTTCTACCACCTCCTCTAGCACCGCATTCCAGGCACTCACCACCTTTCGTGAGAAAAACATGCCTTGCACATCTCTTTTACAAATCCCCCCTCGCGCCTTGAACCTGTGTCCCCTAATAATTGAACCCTCCACTCTGGAAAAAAGCCTCATACTTTCCACTCTGTCCATGCCAATCACAATCTTATAAACTTCTATTAGGTCGCCCCTCAACCTCCTGCGTTCCAGTGGAAACAAACCCAGTCTATCCAACCTTTCTTCATAGCTAAAATCCTCCATACCAGGCAACATCTGGTAAACCTTTTCTGTACCCTCTCCAAAGCATCCACATTCTTCTGGTAGTGTGGTGACCAGAACTGTACACAATATTCCAAGTGTAGCCTAACTAAAGTTCTATAAAGCTGCAGCATAACTTGTCTATCCTTACACTCAATGCCCCTTCCAATGATTGCAAACATGCCATAGGCCTTTCTCATTACCTTATCTACCTGTGCTGCCACCTTCAGTGATCTGTGGACATGCACACCCAGATCCCTCTGCATATCAATACTCCTAAAGGTTCTGCCATTCACTGTATAATTTCTACCTGCACTTGACCCTCCAAAATGCATCATCTCACATTTGCTCTTCTTTTTCTGCTCCACAACAATTTGTGCATTATCTTACATATTGTTTCTCCTCTCTTTATTATTAAATTCAGACCAATCATCTCAATTGTCTCTCATCCTCAGAAATGTAAAACAATAGATTTCCTTGAGCAACCCCCCACCCCCATAACCCTTCCTTCCTCCTCCATCGTTCTGAACTCTCATTACTCCTGGTTTAATCATCACTACTTCATAATTCCTACTTGTTGAAAACTTAGCGATTTTCTACATTGGCTGTTTACTTGTTAATGAAGGTACTCAGTTTATTTTCAAGAACTGACTATTCCCTTCTCAAAACATGAGTGGTTGTGTAATTAGGATGAAACTGGATTGGTGCAGATTCAAGGTATTAAAATCAACTTGATTTTCTAAAAAGCTAACTGTTTAAATGAGATTTTCTGTCAATTTTTCTCTTTCTAACTTTGCCTATTGACTTCTTCCTAGGAGGGAACGCCATGAAAATAAGTTACTTTCCAGTATTGCCTCTGACATACAAGTTATTCTTTGTTGTCCAACTATTTGGCTGGCTGGAACATCATAGTTGAACTTATACCTTACACAGACCTCTTGCAGCATCTCTGGATAATATGAGTTCTGACCTTTGTTAGATTTTCCTATCCTTATCCATGGGTCCTGGTCAGTTGTCGTACACTTATGAGTAAAAATTTTACCAATTGTTTGAGTTGGGCTAATTTAGCACTGATTAATACATTAAACCTTGAAGCTCAAAATGACCATCTATTGACACATTAAGGTAGATGGTTTTCAGCTGCATTCTGCCTTTTTTTTATTCCTACATGGTGTGGGAAATATTGGACATAACATTTGTGAGAAATGTTATGTAGAGTGATAATATTTTGGACAATTTAACATTTCAAAATTGTACAAATGAGCAATGAGAAATAAGTTCTGACTCTGGAAATAGTTTAACGAGTTTTTGTCCTTGATGGTGATATAAACAGCTTTGTTTATTCAAACAATTTTGCAATTTAATAAGTATGTTTCAACACAACGTTCCAAAGTGGTCTCTGGTATTCTAAAACCAAGACTAAATGCAAACTTCCCATCATGTTGTCGAAGAAAGGAAAAGAATGAAAATAGATGAGGCTGTGTTATTGATAAGTCCTTGCAAATGTCTCCAACTTTGAATATTTTCAGTTATATCATAAATTAATCTGTGCATCATTTGAAAGGTTTTCAACTTTCAAAGAATTTACTGTTTTATTCTTCCTCCCTTGTTTACATTTCAAAATTAAAATGAAGAGACTTTTATTTTGGCTAAGAAAACATTGCATTCAGTTTTAAATATAACAGGATAAAATAAAGAAAGAGACAGCATTTGGTAGATCACTAAACTAGTGTATTCATTTGCCGTAGATTAAGTAGTGAGAATACTTACCAATCCAATACCCTTCCCATACATTGAGGGCAGCATGCTATCAGATGGGAATGTGGATATTGAGTCTTTTCCTCGTCTGTGGTGCAAAGTATTTTTTTCAATGCCAGTTTGACAGCATTCACTGATTCACTCTACTCAATCCCATCTGAATGATGTGCATGTAATATGCAAGGTGAAGGAGAATAACCATAATCTAACTCAGAACGGAGGCAACTTTGGAGAGGTTGCCACTTAGTGCCCATTCCTCATGAACTTGGATCGGACATAATGTGCAGTGTGTTGAAAGCGTTGAGAGCATTGTGTGTAAATGTTTAAGATGTCTTGTACACTGACTGAATGAGATTTTAACTCGTTCACTTGGGCAGTTAAAACTGAGGACCTTTTTCATGTCTAGTTTTGATAACATGCCAAGAACCCAACCAGATTATTGCTTCACGGGCAATGTGTGATGATACTCTTGGCTTTAAGAGTTGTGTTTTGTCCTGGTTTGTTTTAGTGGGAGACTGAGGAGGACAGGTGCAGAGCAGTCCATGAGAAGATAAAGAACATGTGAGGCCTCGGGGCTTCTTTTAAAAGTTGGAACAATACAAGCAGCCTGAGTGGGCGTAATCAAGCTCTCATAGATGCAGGATTTTTAGTTAACTTTCGGCATTTGTTGCTGGGATGTCAGCAGGGTTAGGAGGCAGTGAATCTCTCCTGGCTGCCAAGCTGTCTCTCTCTGAATTGTCTTTTGATGTTCTTTCTTCCTGGATTGGAGAACTGCATGTGAGACAATCGGTTTTATGAATTTGCCTTTTTGTCAAGGGTGCATTTATATGATGTTACTATATTGGAACAGTTAATTAATAATAGTCACTGTATCTATTATTCCGTTACGCTTTCTAATTGAGTTAAGTTAATGCAAGTTCTTCTTTCTTTTGTTGTATTTTAACTATAGTGTTTGAATAAATTATGTTTTGCTTAAATTCAAGTAGTTTGAGCAATCGAATTGCATGTGGAACACAGCACCTGACATTTACATTTAAAATAAGAAAAAGTTAGGGTCTAGACTACCTTCTTAATATATTTTGAGGGGGTCTGGTCTCGTCCATAATAAACGCCAGACAGACGGACACTGACAATCATGCTCATTTTAAGGCAGATATTGCCTCTGAAACTTACTCCCAGGCGATAGCTGCTACCATCAGGAGATACATTAAGTAATGTGCTGAACCATCCCAGTAGCAAATCATATGTCCATGGCCTGTGCTCAGGTATGGTTCACCCTGCGTCATGAAAACAGCAAACATTTTATTTGCAGGAGTCAAACAACAGTTAGCATCAGAGAATCTGACATTTTTACTTGGTTAAATGCTTTAACATTCATGACACTGTTAATAAATTCAAGAAAAGATCATAACTTCCAGCCTTTACTGTGCTGTCAAATTTTAAGCTAATTAACCTACCAATTACACAGCAAATGTTTGAAAGCCATTGTCAGGATTCAATATATATTCCTATTAAATAAACATTTCCAGTCCTGAACCAAAGTGTAAGTAAATCTGATGACAGGAAATTGGACAAGTTGAAAATTGATCTACACAACCATTACCAAGGTCACTTGTAATTTTATCGTACCACGCATTAGTTGCATTAAGATCTTCTATTAATGTAGCATTGGCAGCACAGTGGCTTAGTGGTTAGCATTACTGCCTCACAGTGCCAGGGACCTGGGTTCAATTCCAGTCTTGGGTGACTGTCTGAGTGGACATTCTCCCTGTGTCTGCTTGGGTTTCCTCCAGGTGCTCTGGTTTCCTTGCACAGTCCAAAGATGTGTAGGCTAGGTGGATTGGCCATGGGGTTACAGAGACAGGGTAGGGGGAGGTGGGTTTGGGTGGGATGCTCTTTGGAGGGTTGGTGTGGAGTTGATGGGCTGAATGGCCTGCTTCCACACTGTAAGGATTCTATGATTCTTACCATATAAAACTTTGTTTATTTTGCCATTTAGTTTCTACTATTATCTCCATAGCACAATTACAAAAATGAGTCAGGTTGTAAAATTGGAGTTAAGAACACAGGAACAGGAATACAGCATTTAGCCCCTCAAGTCTACTCTGCCCAACCTGTATCCCATATCCAGACACCTGCCTTTTACATTAATGGTCTCTTAATACCTTCATGCCTTTGGGTAATTTAAATCTGTTGATCTTAGATGGAAAACAATTGATTTTCCATCAGTATTGGAATTGCAGTTTGTGAAAAAAAAGAGTTCCAAAGTCTACCTTTGTGTGCAGAAGTGCTACCTGCGCTGGATTTAGCAAAGCCTTCCAGAACAGACAGAATGGCAGGGGAATCTGGAGCAATCCATTCACAGCATCTGTATTGGATTCCCCAATATCAGGTAAACTGTCCCAGTTAAACTAAACTGGGGTGGAAACAGCCCGGGGTGGAGATTCCAGCCAGTCAGAAGACGATTAAGCTCATTAATGAATCAAAGCTAATTATCCCTGAATTTACTTGTGGCGCATGGATTAAACAGAACTCAGGTGGCACTGCTGGGTCTCCCGAAGGCTTCCAGCAAATCTCCTTCCCCAATATGTGGAGGAGTGTTTCTCTTAGTGTCCAACTGACTGAGCCAAAACCAGGAAGAAGGTGGGCCGCTGAAAGCCACATCCTCATCCTTAGCCACCCCCGTCCCACAACTCTGTGCCACTCAGCTGTTCCTGAGATCCAGTGTAGATCCTGGTGTGGGGCCTCAGTGTATTACTGGCAGCTTCTGCCATTCCCAGTCACACTGTAAACAATGGTAGTCGATTGGCCATTGACGATTAATATCAGCAGTGAGTGTGTACTGCAGGGATACTTAAGGGATAAAACTTGATAAATCCCAGGACCAGCCTATATTCTAGAGTTCCAAAAGATGTAAGGGCAGAGGTAATGAATGTGCTGACTATGATTTTCCAAACTTCACTAGATTTCAGAATGGTCCCAGCACATTGGAAGTCAGCAAAGGTGACACCGCTGTTCAAGAAAGGATTGAGCGAGAAAACAGGCAACTTCAGGTCAGGAGCCTGACATCAGTCACTGGGAAAATGTTTGAATCAATTTTTATTCTTTTCCTTCTCTTGTGAGACATGGGTGTCGCTGGCTGGCCAGCATTTATTGCCCATTCCTAGTTGCCCTTGAGAAGGCTGCTTTCTTGAACAGCTGCCGTCTACATGCTGTACATTGACCCACAATGCTGTTAAGGAGGAAATTCCAGGATTTCAACTGAGCGACAGCGAAGGAACAGCAATATATTTCCTAATCAGGATGGCTTGGGGAGGAACTTGCAGACGATGGTGTTCCTGTGTATCTGCTTCCCTTGTCCTTCTAGATGATCGTGATCATGGGTTTGGAAGGTGCTGTCTGAGGAGTCTTGGTGAATTTCTGTAGTGCGTCTTGTAGAGGGTACATGCTGCTACTACTGAACATCGGCGGTGGAAGGATTGGGATGCTTGTGGATGTGGTGCCAATCAAGTGAGCTGCTTTGTCCTGGATGGTGTCAAGCTTCTTGAGTGTTGTTGGGGCTTCATCCATCCAGGCAAGCGGGGAGTATTCCATCACAATCCTGACTTGTGCCTTGTAGGTGGCGGACAGGTTTCGGGGAGTCAGGAGGTGAGTTACTCACCGCAGTATTCCTAGTCTCTGACCTCTATTATTAAGGATGTCTTCTATTGTATTTTATTGGATGGGGATTGGAATAGAAGAATAAAGATGCCCTTGCTACAATTGTACAGGGCTTTGTGAGACAACACCTCAAATAATGTGGGTTATTTTTATCTCCATTTTAATAAACAATATCTGTGCATTGAAGGCAATACAGCAAAGGTTCACTCAATTGGTCCCTGAGATGAGATAGTTGTCCTGTGATGACAGACTGAATAAATTGGTTTGCAATTTAGAAGAATGAAAAATGATCTCATTGAAAGTCAAGATTATGAAGGGGTTTGACAAGAATTGTTTCCCATGGTGGGGAAATCTAAAATAAGGAAGTACAGTTTCTGAATAAGAGGCTGATCATTTAGGATTGAGTAATTTCTTCACCCTAAGTGCTGTGATTATTTTGGAATTCTTTAACCCTGCATAGATTACAAAAAAAGTGAAGCTAGCACAACCTTTGACCATTCAGATAACCAGTAGATCTGGGGAAGTAGTGACCAGAAAAGCAATAAAATGTAGGAGCAGGAGTTAGCTATTTGCCCCATCAAGTCTGCTTTGCCATTCAATGAGATCATGGTTGATCTGATAATCCACAACTCCACTTTCCTGTCCTTGTTCCATAACCTTTGATTTCCTTCCTGATTAAAAATCTGTCTATGTCAGCCTTGAATAATGACCCAGCCCCAACAGCCCTCTGCAGTAAAGAATTCCATAGACTCACGAGCCTACGTGAGGAAAAAATATTCTTTTCTGTCTTAAATGGGAGACCTCTTATTCCAAGATGTTGCCCTCTGGTCCTAGACTCTCCCACAATTGGAAACAGAATTTTCGCATCTACCCTGTCAAGCCCCCTTAGAATTTTATATGTTTCAATAAAGTTGCCTCTTATTCTTCCAAATTCCAATGAGTTCAGGCCCAACCTACTCATTCCTCATAACAAAATCTCTTCACACATGGAAACAACCCAGTGAAACCTCTGTGGACTGCCTCCAGTACCATATATCTTTCATTAGATAAGGGGTACAAAACTGTTTACTATATTCAAGGTGTGGTCTGACTAGTGTTTTGCATAATTTCAGTAAGACCTCTCTATTTTTATACTCCATTATATTTCCTTCTGGTCAATTAGGTAAGATCCCATGGGGTGAGAGACAAAAAGCCTCTGCATATAGTTCTGGTCAATACATTGTAGGAAAGAAGTGAATGCACTAGACAGGGCACAGAGGAGACTGACCAGGACAGTGCCTGAGCTGAAGGGTCTGAGATATGAGGAAAGATTGGTCAGCCTAGAGTTGTTTTCCTCAGAGCAAAGGGTGAAAGTAGACTTGATAGAGGTGTATGAGATTATGAGGGGCATGGATATAATGGTTGAGAAGGCACTTTCTCCATTCATTGTAGGCTCAAAAGCCAGGGGACATAGACTTAAAGTAAGAGGCTAGGAGAAGAGTTGAGATGATTTTCGTTTCACTCAGAAGGTGTTGAAAGCTGGAACTCACTGCCTGATAGACTGGTTGAGTCAGAAACTCTCATAATATTCAAGTAATATTTAGACACTCAGTTGCGTTGCCATAGCCTCCAGGGTTATGGGCTAAAAGCTGGAAATTGGGATCAGTGTCATTAGATCATTGTTGACCAGTGCAGACACGATGGACTGAATGGTCTCCTTCTCCATTGTAAATGTCTATAAACCTATTCCCTTTGAAATAAAGGTCAACAATCTATTTGTCTTCCCTAATTTTTACTGAATTTGGATGCTACCATTTTGTGATTCATGCACAAGGGATCTCCAAATCCCCCTGTGCTGCAGCTTCCTTGAGATTTTCCCCACTTAAATAATACTCAGTTCTTCTATTCTTTCTGCCAAAGTGCCTAGCCTTACCTTTGCCACATGTTAACTAGTTGTGGGATAGATACAGTACGACAGGGACAGCACATCTACAGAACAGTGGCACTGCATCTTCTACATCCACCTAAAGGTTCAAAACATTCACTGTCACATTCAAAGGTTAGACTTGGCTTTATATAGTGGAATTAAAATTTGCATTCTGGTACAGCAATGTCTCAAATTTAAAATGGGCATTCTTGGGTTTGAGTTCCTCTGTGGTCTTATCACCCTATCTCTGTAACAACCTCCAACCTTACTACTTCTTGTGAATTGTTGCCCTATAACTCCAGTTTTCGAACACCTGTGCTTTTTAATGACAGTAATTTTTTTTTTGTCTAGGCCCTAAGCTGCAGAATTCTCTCTGGCTCTCTCTCCTCCTTAAAAATTACTGTGTTCAATGTATCTCTGTACGCTTTTCACTGTACTCTTGTACTTGAGTACATTTGACAATAAAGCTTAAATCAAATCAAACCTCTCCTAATGTTTCCTAATGTGGCCTGTTGTTATATTGCGTTGGATGCTGTTTCTGTGAAGCACGGTGAGAAGTTGTGCTATCCTAAAGGACGCTATGTAAAAGCAAGCTGTTGTTGTAGACTGGGCTGAATGTCTAGTGGTAATTTCATGAGGCTGGTTTGCCCCAAACGCCCACCCTCCACTTTTTTTGGAAGGTGGCATTCTAGAAACAGAAATGAGGAATTG